TGAGGTGCGTGGTAAAGTGCATTTGTTCCCAAACTTGGTAAGTAGTAAGTACTTAGAGGTAGTAAAAATTAACTTTATTTTAGTAATTAAATAATCTGTTAACTGTCAACTGATGGTAATTTTCAATTTTCGTTTTTAAATCTGGGAGTATTATTATCAGGGTTCGGGACTTAAAGCATTTGCTTATTTTTATGGATTGACTTAAAATGTAGCATAGTGCTATGGAAGTGTATGTCATGTTATAATACGTTTAATTATTAAGTTTGAAAGTGCTTTTTTTCGCTTGTTTCAGCAATTTTTCAAAATAATTCCTATTTCCCCTTTTTCTGATTATTTTTGCTTATTTGACCAGTATTTCTACATTTTTATAATGTTTTCAAATATTATAAATATCGTTTACATTTCATTTTTCAGAAATTCCCTCGGAAAATCCCTAAAGTATCGAAAGTGAAGTTTAATTTATTTTATAATATAAAGATAAAGATTGATTTTAATTTTGTTTGATTTTTTGTTTTTGTTAATAAATATTTTTGCAATAATTTAAGTTTTTAAGTGCTTATAATGATGTTTTAAGAGCTTTTTTAAGCGCTTATTTTAATGATTTTATGTGCTATAAGTCCCCGAGCCCTGTTTACTATTAAACTATTAAATTAAGTATTTGGTTAAATCACCGTGAAAATTAGTGTACACCAATAAGATTACATCAAATAAATGAGTTAAACAAGTAACTAATTTAACAATAAAGATAAGATTATAAAATGTTTTGTTTAATATAGATTGAATTTTGTATTTTCTAATTATACACACCAAAAAATTGTTCACTTTAGTATGTATTTTAAAATATGAATTAATAATTTGCATTATATCATAATTTATCATATTATCATAATTACACATGATTGATATATGGGTATATACAGGGTGATTCTTTTAAGTGGGTACACTAATTATCTCAAAAAGTATTGACTTTTTTCAAAATATTTTTTGACATGGTTTCAAGTTGTTAAAAACCCTATGTTTTAACGTTTTAACTTTAAATACTTATAACTCAAAAACTACTAGCCCTAAATTCGATTTTTATGAATCAWAATACTTRGAAAAATATTCTGCTTTGGAATATGAAATTAAAACTCTATGTTGTCATTCAAAAAAGAAAAAACTTAAAAATTATAAGGATAAAAAATATAATTTTTTAATAAAAACGTTGGTTTTTTAACAACTTGAAACCATGTAAAAAAATATTTTGAAAAAAGTAATTACTTTTTAAGATAATTAGTGTACCCACTTAAAAGAATCACCTTATATATGGTTTTAAATCCACGGGTTCCAAATTTCAAATTTGGATTCCGGATTATTATCCGTTGGAAAACGTTAGCCCTAAGGTGTATAGTTATATATATATCTAATAGTTTTATATTTATAATAAGTTAAATGTAATATATTTTATATATTATGTAGGTGAAGCAAAGGTTAAAGATGGTGCTGCTGGAGTACATTTAACTATGGCTAGAGAAGGAAGACCTAGTGGTGAAGCTTATGTTGAAATGGAATCCGAAGAAGATCTTAAGGCTGCGCTTAAGAAAGATCGAGAACATATGGGCAATCGTTACATTGAAGGTTATATCCAAATTATATTTAATAATGTGTTAGTAATTAGTTTTAAATTTTTGATAACTGATTTGCTTCCACAGTATGGCTTATACTTAAAGGGAAAAACATTTCTGGTATCATAATATAGTATCATAATTCTTATGTATATTTTTGGAGTGGTTTAAATTGTAAGACAAATAACTTTCTCATTCCTCTTATAATTTTTGATAGTCTCATATCAGTTAAACTTTTATATGGTTATAAAAGTAAATTTTAAAACTTCTTAATTGTTTGTATAAAATTTTTTTAGTGTTTCGATCAAAACGTTCAGAAATGGAATGGGTTATTAAAAAAACTGGTTCAACACTTGACAGTGTACTAGATGATAATTGTGTTCGATTAAGAGGTCTTCCCTTTGGATCTACCAAGGATGACATTGTACAATTCTTCCAAGGTATACTTTTATATTTAATTTAAATAGATTGATAGAATTTTATTTTTTTATTTATCTTGCCAATTTTTGGGTTACTAAAAAATTTGCTTTGTCTTGGTGATTCAATAAGATTTATACTTTTAATTGGATATGTGATATTTGTTTTAACTGATTTTTTATATGCCTAACAGCAATTTTACTAGGAAAAAGCTTATGATTTTTTTTAAGTTAAATATTTTAGTGTTACACCATATGATTTTTCTTTGTATAGACTACTTAACTATTCATTTTTGCTCCACTAATTATAAAAATATGATAACTAGTAAGCTGTTTGGTCACAGTTAAGCATTATTGATTAAAAACTGCTTATAAATTGTTACCTAGGCTATATTTAAATATTGAGCTGGTTATTTAAAAATAAATTTAAACAGAATAATTAGTTATTTTACCATGATGTAAAATTTAAGACCAATAAAAAAGAAGATATAGTTAATTGTTATAATATTAAATATCACAAGTTTAAATTAATAACGTTTAAAATTATCTTAATGAATTGCCTTGTCTTCAAATTTTATGAAAAATATTAAAACTTAATAATATTTATCTTTTATTAATTGAAGTTTTTGTGTTTTTGGTTGTGCTAATGATTGGGTTATCTATGATTGGTTGTATTGTGGGCAACAGGGTTGGAGATGACACAAGACGGTATAACCATAGCAACCGACTTCACGGGGCGGAGTACGGGGGAAGCTTTTGTACAATTTGTAGACAGAGAGAATGCAGAGAAAGCTCTGCAGAAACACAAGGAGAAAATAGGACACAGGTGGGGTGTCTTCCTTTATTTATTATCCCAGTGAAAAATTGGTGGGTAATGTAATCACATGTAGTTAAACAAAGGGAGGCCGGGAGGGTAATCCTTCGCTCCTCCTTATTTGTGGTTTGTTTTTATTTTTATTTTTAATCATTATTAAATTAAATCTTAATTATTTCTACCTCAATAAAAATTGATTTTATGTTTAACTTACTTTTAGGTATCTTATTGTATTAAGACCATGATCATTCATATATTACTCATTTTTTATGATTCTTTAGATATATTGAGATATTCCGCAGTAGTTTAGCAGAAATTCGTAATCAAGCACTACAAAGGAGACCTAGACAAACTCCATATGACCGAATGGATCGTTTTGCTGGTAGTGGCGGTAGCGGCGGCGGCGGTGGTGGACGGTACTTTGATATGCCCATGAGAACTGGACGTAATATGAAATCATTTGGCAATAATGGCTATGATAATGGAGGTGATCCATGGAACAGTGGTAGAAGTATGGGTGGTCCAAGAGGCGGTGGTGGGGGCGGCCAAGGTATGATGGGCGGCAGTGGTGGAGGTGGCGGAGGAGGATGGAATAGTAATAACTGGAATGCTCCACCAAGTAGACCATTATATGTTGTACATATGAGAGGATTACCTTTTAAAGCAAATGAGGATGATATAGCTACAGTTAGTATATTTTTATTTTAATAAATACAAATTTTTTGTATTAAGTTTGATAAATATTTCAAATTAGTTTTTTGAACCTTTGGAGCCTGCTGATATACGTATTCTTTTCAATAACAATAATCGACCATCTGGAGAAGCAAATGTTGAATTTAGTAACAAAGAAGATGCAATGAGAGCTATGTCTAAAGTAAACATTTTTCTTAGTAATTAATTTATATGTTCGTAAAATAAATAATACGTAATGTTTTAATTTGAAGGATAAAACATACATGCAACATAGATACATTGAATTGTTTATGGATGGACCAGTAGGAGGTGGACCAGCTTCTGGCGGTAATAACTTTAGTATGGATGATATGGGACCACCAAACTCAGGCAATGGTGGGAACTTTGGAGGATTTGGAAACAATTCATTTGGAGGTGGCGGCGGCAACAGTGGTGGTGGTGGAAATTCATTTGGAAACAACACATTCTCTCGGCGTAATGATAACTCTGGGCCTCCTAATTCATTTTTTTCAAATAATATGGGAGGAGGTGGATATCCAAGACCTTCTGGACCAAGAAATATGTCAGGTCCTGGCCCTAAATTTAACCCTTTTTAAAATTGATGATAAATATAAATAAAATAAAAAATGTTTGACTTTAAGACTTTAAAGTATTATCACATGTTTACAGCACATTGATGTTTTTTTTTCTTCTTAAACTAATAATACAAGTAATTATGATTATGCTCTTTAAATTTAAGTACTAATCCATGTTAGTTTTACCATACAAGTGTTATTTAATTTTGACAACCTAATTTATGGTATTTCACATAAAATGATGTAATATAATTTATTTTGAAAAATATGAGAATCTGCTTATTTTGTCACAAAATTTTAGGGCATATGTTTGTAATATAATTTTCCTATTATCCTAATATAAGATAATTTTATGTTGTGAAATCTTTAAGAATTCAAATATTTGGAGTATGGAAATAGCATTGTAACGTTAATAAAAACAACCCTTTTTTATACATCGAAACTTATTTGCATAATTTCTATTTTTAATGTATATGTTAAGGAAACAATTTTATATTAATTAATGTAAGTATTTGTAATTATAGCTTCTGAAAAATAAATAAAATAAAATTTTTTTTATATTCCGTTTATCATAATTCTCAAAACACCACTATTACAGGATAAAAGTGATAAATATGTGATCTTTATGATCTTTATTAGGTTTTGTATGTTATGTAACCTTATGTTAAGCGAAAAGTTTAGAGATTTAAAAGCATAAATTATACCGTTTATGTAAGAGGTGTGAGGAATAAGGATTACATTTACAAGTATTGTGATAAATAGATCACTTGTAATAAAACAAATGATTTTGAATGGTTCCAAATTTGTTTGAAACCAATTTTTAAAATACACTAAAGGTTACCCCAATAACTTAAATAATAGAGATGTCCAATAGGACATAAAATTATTGAAAATGAAATATTATCTTAACACTTTAATGATTTTCACAGAAAACTATTTACATATAGAGAAATAATTCTACACTTTAATTGTCTTTATCGTTCGTGGGTGCAGATGGTAGTCTAAAACCAATCATATCCGCAGTTTCTTGAACGGTTTTTTCTCGTTTCTGATGTTTGTCTGTGAGCTCGCGGCATATACGCTGCGATCGTATATACTGCAAGTAAGTTTCAGCAACCCAGATCATCTCATCTGGTCCACGGCAGTACTGCGCCGAGGTGACTTTATTTGATCGATATTCAGATAGTATCAACCGCATTAAAGGTCGGTTGAGCAATTTGCCGTCAGATGTAACATACCGGAATTCACGGGTCAGCGATCGCAGGAGGGCAAGCGACGTCTTTCCAAACATTTTGGATGCGTTTCGCGAGTCTTGGATCTTCTATACGAAGAACCGGCTTTCCTAACAAATATCCTAAAACACTAAGTAAACGCCTGCCGTGGGAATGCGGGACGAGTTGCGTACTTGCGTATTAACTATTAATTGTTAATTAATCAAATTTGAAATTACTAATTAGATTAGTTAATAGTTACAGAAGATAATAAAAATAAAATTGTTATTATCACTTTTATCATTTCTGTTATCTTAGTTAGCAACCGGCTCTGCACGCCAACCATAGACCGGACCTATAAAATTAAACCTTTTATTATGTCTATGGTCTACGACGATGCCAACAGCTGCAGCTTGAAAACCTGCATCCACTCACAAAACTAATCCGGTATTGGTACGTTCTATGGCGTGCCGCATGAATCAAAGTGACGTCACCAGCCTCACGTCTTGTTTTTCCGAAGGAAAGCCACATAGTTGCTCCCGATTGGCCAGTTCCGTGTTCGTGTAGCGTTTCGATTGGTCTACGTTAATAAGTTATAATTCGGCGGTACGTATCCATATTACGGTTGTTTTTTACGGTGCCCGGTGCCCAGTGCATACTGCACATCACTTCAGACTCGGCAGTTCACTGACATCCTAGAGCGTTTCACAGTTACTCTGGTTGGGTTATTCTGACTACAAACATTTCGTGTCTATTCGTTGACCAAAATTTGCATCGATATGTTTGAACTCAAGTATCTTATACTTGTGGTTTTGGCCCTAGCATTTTCACCATTAACCGGTAAGTTTGCTTTGGACTCTTTTTAATTAACTCTTAGACGAATAATTTCTGATAAATTACAAACTATATTGCTGCTACCCTTAGAACGATGTGTAGCCGAAGAATTAGATGGTGAAGAAGGAGAAATAATAAAAACATTTACTGTTGACGCAACTGTTGACGGTGTCAGTAAAGAAGGAGCAGTTACTGGTAACATTTTTATAATTTATTTTTTATGTTTTGGGTTAAATAGTGTACCACAGGCATTTAATAAGATTAACGTAGTGAAATTGTGTTCTTAATAAATTAGTTCAGGTAAATTTAGAACACATATTATTTTTTTTTAATACCTAATATTTCTGTTACACCATTTCAATAAAGTAAAAAGATTAAATTTAAAAAGTTAAACCTAATCACTTAAAATTAAAACAATTTAAAAAATATGTGCATATCATTAATTTTTATTCTTGCATTTAAGTTATAGGTACATACCTATAAAATCAATTAATTACATCTTTATAAACGTCTATCTGCTTCTTTTTATTATATTTCTTTATGAAAAAAAAAAAAATTTTCAACAATTATTAAATATAATAGTTAGATAAAAATAAATTTCATACATATGATTTATTAATTAACAGCACAAAATTTAATTTTAAACCAATAAGTTAGTAAGTATTTTAGGTATTTTAAAATTGGAGATCAATTAAAAGTGTACAGTTAGACTCTACCTCCTTCACTTAGAGTTTATTAAATATTTTATCATTCTAGAAGTATAATTAATTATTCAATAGAAAGTAAAATAAATATTCTTACTATTTATGACATTCCTGAAAAAAAACTTTTTATTTGTTTTTAGGACGGTAAGTATACTGTAAATTCTTGTACATAATTTTTTTTTTTTAACTGTGGTTGATTATCTAGATATAAAATATATAAAGTAATATAAAAACAATTAAGATTATTATTATGATTAAATATGTAGTAAATATTTTGTGAACAGGTGATTAATGCATTAAATTCACAATATTGTTAGAACAAGTTATCTCTTTTAGGAAGCTTTAAGGCTTTTCACTCTTTAATTTTTATGTCAGTATTATTAGATTATCAATTAAGAGCATTGTTCAGGTCTGTAACAGATATTAAAGAAAAAAAACTATTACAAAATTGCAAACCTTATAACTTAGACAATCAAGTAGTATTAATAGTTTTAACTGTTATATATCTAAAATGCTAAAATAAAATATTATTTCAGATGATAAGGTAGCTATAGTTGAAGAAGAGCGCATTAAATTAGATGGATTAAATGCCGCACAGTTACGAGAACTGAAGGAACAAGCAGAAACATTTACTTTCCAAGCTGAAGTTAATCGAATGATGAAACTTATTATCAACTCACTGTATAGAAATAAAGAAGTAAATATTATTTTTTAATCGTTTTGATAAAAATAAAATAACAAGTTTATTGTTTTTTTTTTCAGATTTACTTAAGAGAACTTATTTCAAATGCTTCAGATGCTTTAGATAAAATAAGATTATTAGCATTGTCTAATTCTAACCTTTTAGATGCAACTAATGAACTTTCTATCAGAATTAAGGTAATGTATAATATTAATTATTTTTAGGATTATATTTAAAATTAATACATATATAATATATATATATATATATATATATTGACACAATTGGTTTATGAGATTTATTTATTCAATTATTAATTAAAATTAAAAGTAAGCAATTTATTTTCATTCCATCTATGTACATAGTTATAGGTTGTACCACCTATGTAAATAATTTATATTATTTATATATTTGTTTTATATGATAGACAAATACTTGGTATATTTCTGGGTATAACTTAATTATAAATGTCAAAAAACATTTGAATCAAATACGTTAAGTTTTATTAACTTTGGTTTGTAGTAACAGTTTATTTTATCAAAACTATTATATTTCTATTGCACTTCTACCACTCATTATTAAATGGAAATTTAACTCTTAAGTACATATTATTTTACTGAAGTTTATTAGGTAATAATTATCAGTTTAWTGCAATTGATTTTTAATAATTAAATATTGTTAACTAGGTGAACAAAGAATCTGGTATGTTGCATATAACTGATACAGGAATAGGTATGACTCGTGAAGATCTGGTAAGAAATCTGGGTACCATAGCTAAATCTGGTACAGCTGAGTTTTTAAGTAATTTGAACTCTGGAGAAGGTCAAGATAAGAATATGAATGACATGATTGGACAATTTGGAGTTGGATTTTATTCTGCTTTTCTTGTTGCTGATAAAGTTTTGGTTACCACTAAGCACAATGATGATAAACAATATATATGGGAATCAGATGCCAACAGTTTTTCTATTGTTGAAGACCCTAGAGGACCAACACTTAAGAGAGGAACACAAATTAGGTATGTTTAAATTAATATTTAAAAATTCTATCTCTTCTAATTTAATTTAATTTTTGTTTCATTTTTTTAGTTTACAACTGAAAGAAGAAGCCATGGATAATTTAGAAATAGATACTCTGAGAAATTTAGTGAAAAAATACTCCCAGTTTATCAACTTCCCTATTTATTTATGGTCAAGCAAAACTGAAACTGTAGAAGAACCAATTGAAGAAGATGAGCAGTCAGAAAATGAAGAAAAATTAGAAGAAGATGATGCAGCTGTAGAAGATGCCAAAGAAGAAACACCAAAAACCAAAAAGGTAGATAAGACTGTTTGGGATTGGGAAATCCTCAATAACCATAAACCTATATGGACTCGAAAACCTGATAATGTAGAAGAAAATGAGTATAATGAGTTTTATAAGGCCCTAACTAAAGATACAAAGGATCCATTGAGTTATACACATTTTAATGCTGAAGGCGAAGTATCATTTAAATCCTTGCTTTATGTTCCATCTGCACAACCATCAGATACCTTTAACAAATATGGAACTGTAACAGACAACATTAAGCTTTATGTTAGAAGAGTATTTATAACAGATGAATTTACTGATTTATTACCAAAGTATTTAAGTTTCCTTCAAGGAATTGTAGATTCTGATGATTTACCATTGAATGTTTCTCGTGAAGTATTACAACAACATAAGCTACTTAAAATCATCAAGAAAAAACTCATTCGTAAAGCATTAGATATGCTTAAAAAATTAGATCCTGAATCGTACAAGAAATTTTGGGCTGAATATTCTACAAAGTAAGTGAATAATGATAATGAAGTAATTTATGAACGTTTTAATTGGGACTATTCTAATTTTCTTCAATTTTTAGCATTAAATTGGGCATTATTGAAGATCCATCTAATCGAGCACGTCTTGCCAAGTTGCTGCGATTCCAATCTTCTGTTGAAGAGACTCCTACATCATTAGCAGATTATGTAAAACGTATGAGTGAAAAGCAGGAACATATTTATTACATTGCTGGTTCTAGTAAAGCAGAACTTRAACGATCTCCTTTTGTTGAGGGCATTATTCGCAAGGGATATGAAGTTCTGTATCTAATTGAAGCTGTCGATGAATACACATTATCAGCTATTCCAGAGTTTGAAGGTAAAAAGTTCCAAAATGTGGCCAAAGAAGGTGTTTCTCTTTCTGAAAATAAAGAAAAGGCTGAAGAATTGAAAGCTCAATTTGAACCACTTACGAAATGGTTAGGCGAAAATGCTCTTAAAGATCAGGTGAGTTGAGAAAATCATATTACAATTTTTTATTTTTGTATATCTCTTTTATCATGTGATATTTCTATGAGTGTATTGTTTAGATTTCAAAAGCAGTTGTATCAGATCGTTTGGCTGAATCACCATGTGCTCTTGTTGCTGGAATGTTTGGTTGGACTGGTAATATGGAAAGATTAGCCTTATCTAATGCTCACCAAAAAGCTGATGATCCACAAAGAGAGTTTTATTTAAAGCAGCGTAAATCTCTTGAAATAAACCCGCGCCACCCTCTTATAAAGGATTTGTTAAGAAGGGTAAGAGATGATCCTGATGACCAAAAAGCAAAAGATATTGCAGTTATGTTGTTTAGAACAGGTAATTTGATTTTGTCAATGTATTGGTTTAATATGTTTAAAAACTATATTTCATTATCATAACTAATAAATAATAATAAAAGAATGCAATATTTTATTTAATAGTAATTAAGTATCTATTTTTATTATTAGCAACATTACGGTCAGGATTTATGCTCCAAGAATCTGCAGATTTTGCTGAAAGMGTTGAAGTTCTAATGAGGCAATCATTAGGCATTCCATTAGATGAAAAAGTTAGTTATGATGATGAAGAATCTGTTAGTGATCAACAAATAGATGAAGAGGAGGAAGATAAAGAAGAATCCCCAGAACATGAAGAATTATAATACGAGTTGAAAAATATATTATTTTAAAGATAGACTGTATCAGTTTATCTAATTATAAGTCTGATTTGCGACATTTTTGCATATAATTCGAATAAGTAAAATATTTATAATT